ATTTACAAAATATCTTCATGGAACATGATCTTTACTTAATATCCTAATGATTTTTGCCATAAAAGAAAAATGTATAATTTTGACCAATACAATGTATTGTTGGCTATTGCTACAAATATACCCCAGCGACTTAAGACTGCTTTTGTGCTCCAGGGTCACATTTATGTGTGTATCTGCCTGTCTATCTATCTATATGTATGTATGTATATGTTTAATAAACATATTGACTATAGTAAAATAGTTATTTTTTAACTATAATGTATTGATTTATATATTGAGTATATAATAATAATAATAATCATGTTTTATTTATATAGCGCCTTTCAAAAACCCAAGGACGCTTTACATAACGTTAATAGATAACATGAACACATATACAAATATACAGTCACATGATCAAACAAATAAAGCAGACAGAGATCATCTGTACCAGGTTACTTTGTAGAGTCATTTACAACAGCTTCGAACGCGGCTCAGCCAATCAGAATCAAGCACCGGAACTATCCGTTTTTTAAAAAATATTGAATTCACTGTACATGAAGCCACCAGAAAAGCCATGTGGGTAAACAGCTGTTTTCTGGCTAATTATCATTTACAGAAATGTGTGTCGACTTGTTAATGTTTATTTATTTGTTTACCTTCGGCGGCTTCATTAATGCGTATGAACTGCTTCACATAAATACATACAAACAGCAGAAGAGTGTGAAGAGCTGTCAGTGCAAATCACATCTGTAAACGTCTGTTCTCTGTTTCTAGATTGCTCCCTGATGTTGCAGGTCAGACTGGAACCCGTGTGTTAGTGGAGCGATCTGCGTCGGGGATCTGTAGTTTGTCAGATATGGAGTAGAGCGGCTCCGCTGCCATGTGTTTCTCTTCTGTAGCGCAGCAGCGCTTTCTGATGAGTCTGAACAGAGCGACCGCAGGAATGACCAGCGCTGGAACGCCCGACAGAATGAAGATGATCGCGTAAATCCAGTCCGGATACGACTTCGTCTCCAGCACGGGGAAATTCTCCTGGAGGCAATTATCATGAATATCATGCGATAACAGCACATGATTACTTATTACTCATATTTGTTTATCAGTGACATTTTATTATTGGTCATATTTATGTATTTAATTAGTACTCATTTAATCATTCATTACTTTTATTTATTATTCATATGTATTTATGTATTGCTCACATTTTTATTTATTTGTTAATTTATTTATGTATCACTCATATTTATTTATTACTTGTATTTATTTCATTTCTGCTGGTTAAATTGTCAATTGTGAATTGTTTGATTATTACTCATATTTATTAATCTATTTACTTATGTGTGCATTACAAATTTATTTGTTTATTACTTTTCTTTATTTATTTATTACACACATTTATTTATTCATTTCTCATCTTTGTATTTATGTATTACTCTGTTCATTTATTTATTAAACATTTTTGTATTATGCATATTTGTATATAACTTTTATATACTTATTATGCATTTATTTAATATTTATATGTATTATAATATGTATGTATTCTGCACATTTATTAAGTTATGTATTACACATTTATTTGATTTATTATTCATATTTATTTATGCATTACTCATATTTCTAATTTATGTATTACTCATATTTATATTTATTTATTTGTTACACATTTAGTAATAATCATGTTTTATTTATATAGCGCCTTTCAAAAACCCAAGGACGCTTTACATAACGTTAATAGATAACATGAACACATATACAAATATACAGTCACATGATCAAACAAATAAAGCAGACAGAGATCATCTGTACCAGATAAGTAATGAAAGCAAGCATGGAACTGAAAAATGAGGCAGACAATCAATTAACAAAACATGTTGTAAATAAGTGAGTTTAGAGATCAGTTTTAAAAGGTCTGGAGTGAAGAGACAGCACAAAGGTTTTGAGGAAGTTTGTTTTTGGAAGTTTCACAAACTTTGAGGTTCTATTGTAACCGTCTACTACGGGAAAACAGCTGGTTTGCCGTACACTGAAAAAAATTATACTAAATTTCTTTAAGGTAAGTGGTTGCAAACAATTTATTTTAGCTACATTTTAAAAAAAATGTTGAAAGTTAGTCAACTAAATTTGTTTATTTAAATGTAGCTAAAATAAATTGATTGCAACCACTTACATTAAAAAAAAATTTGTAAATTCAATGAATATTTTTTTTCAGTGTAGTCATTACAATGTGACAGATTAGGTTGGTAAATGTTACGTTTTATGGTATATACCATTGTAATTGCACCAGTATACGATTCTACCATTAAGCCCCGTTCACACCAAGAACGATAACTAAAGATAACTATAAAGATAACGATATTAGCGTCCACACCAGTGGACAATATCATCTGTTTATTCTAAGCACACGCGCGTCTGCTGCTTTAAATTCTCGAGCTCGTTACAGCAGGATGGATTCTGATTGGCTGTCAATGTTTGTATCGTTCATCAGATGGAAAAAATCGTTCTGAAAGTGATTCCAACGATATCGTTTCTCTGTGCCTTTATCGTTATAGCTGTGGTGTGGACTCTGCTATTCTTTAACATTGAGAACTATTTTTAGCACTATATCTTTATCGTTATCTTTATAGTTATCGTGCTGATTTTGAAACTTGTGAATCCATTAGAATCATTAGAAGACAGAATCGCGATTCATATGAATAGATTTTTACGTGCACCCCTAGTTTTGACGGCATGGCAACAATGACTCTTCCTCTTCTCTAAAGCAGTGCAACATGGCCCCGCCCCCTGTGTTGCATGTTCCCGAGGGCGGGGTTTATGTAAATTTCAGGGTTTGTGATGTCACCAACCCGGGAAGAAGCTGATTATAGTCCCTACGAGCCGTTTTTGTAGGCATTAAACTGCCATAATTAAAAAAAAGACAATATCTCTGTTCGCATTGAACTTTCAGCGTCGTAACTTTGCAGATATTGTTTATGCTCAAACAGCAACGTTACTGTACACACTAACTAACATTAAAAAATCAGATGGAAAAAATCGTTCTGAAAGTGATTCCAACGATATCGTTTCTCTGTGCCTTTATCGTTATAGTTGTGGTGTGGACTCTGCTATTCTTTAATATTGAGAACGATTTTTAGAACTATGTCTTTATCGTTATCTTTATAGTTATCGTGCTTGCTGTGAACGGGCCTTTAGTCTTTTATTTAATCTGTGTTGATATGTTTTGAAATGAAACTGATTTTAACGATTTTTCTGTTTGTACAAAGATATGTCTGCTGTTGTTAACAACATCTCAGGTAGCACTGGGACTTGAGATGATGTGAAGCAAACAATGCAAGTATTGCCTAAACATCCTCCTCATAATACTTTAATAAATGACGGAATACCGCGTTGCACTGTCTTGTTTACGGTTGCTTAGTGATTTTTACGTTCTCGGCTACGGCGGTGTAACAGCTAACTTCCGGTCATCGTAGCCGTTCCATTCGCATCTTATGGTGCGTTCAAGTCATGTCGGATAGATCGCATTTACGAGTTGAACGCACATGAACACCACCACAAAGTCGTTATTATGAGTGGGAAACTCGAAATTTTCTTGAAGCCCCGAGTTTCCGAGTTGGGGGCGTGTCAATGAGAAACATGGCGGAATCGATGGATGCAAGGGTTTATGTAAATTTCAGGGTTTGTGATGTCACCAACCCGGGAAGAAGCTGATTATAGTCCCTACGAGCCGTTTTTGTAGGCATTAAACTGCCATAATTAAAAAAAAGACAATATCTCTGTTCGCATTGAACTTTCAGCATCGTAACTTTGCAGATATTGTTTATGCTCAAACAGCAACGTTACTGTACACACTAACTAACATTAAAAAAGTGAAATCACAATCAACCACCCCTATAAACTGAATACGATAGATAACGGGGAACCGGTGTAATTGCTGTATGACGGGAGTGACGTGGGCTGATTTTTTGGTGAATGTAAGGGCATGAGCAACTGCATTTTGAATTAGCTGTAAGCGATTAAGGGCTTTGTTAGGTTGGCCATATAACAAGGAGTAACAATAGGCATGAAGTTATAAAAGTATAAATAACTGTTTCAGCATCTTTAAAATTTAGTGATGGTCGTAAACTGACAATATTGCGAAGATGGAAAAAACAGGATTTAACAAGCTGGTTGATATGGGGTTCAAAGCATAATGTAGAATCAAATAGTACGCCAACATTACGTATAATGGGGGAAGGATGAACTATAACTCTGTCAATATTAATGGAAAAGTCAAGATAAGAGGAGACAGAGGATTTGGGGCCAACTAACAGAATCTCTGTTTTTTCAGTATTCAATTTTAAGTAATTTTGAGCCATCCATACTTTAAGATCATGTAGGCAAGATGTTAAAGAAAAGGGAGGAAAAACAGAGTTGGGCTGTGCAGTAAAATAGATTTGCGTATCATCAGCGTAACTGTGGAAATTAAAGACCATGGTGCTGCATGATCTGACCTTGAGGGAGCATGTAGATTAAAAACAAAAGTGGACCAAGAACAGATCCTTGAGGCACTCCACGGGAAGAAGTGACAGTATGAGACTTGTTTAATATGAATTGTTTTCTCTTTTTTCCCCAAAGATAACATGGTCAAATTCACAGGGATTTTTAGATATATACAGTACATATAAGCGTGTGTGTGTATAGAATGTTAAATATATGAAAATAAATAGATTTTTTTATTTAGTATATATTTATCATGATTTTAAAAACGTAAAATATATTCAAATAATAAATAGATATTTAATAAATATAAAAATATTTTATTTAAAATCAAACATGAATATACATTTTAATATTTAAAAGTTTTCCCTTCTGCCCCACTCACAGGGCTTATCTCGCACACACATGCATATATATACAACATTTGAAGTGGATCAAAACCTTTCATCAAAGTTGTCCTAAAACCCAAAGCCAAAATTCGTTCTTGTCTTAGGACAACTTTGATGAACGTTTTTGATCCACTTCAAATGTTGACTAATATATAATAAATAAAATATGTTGAATATGTATAAAAATTATGTACATTAAAATGTTATTTTTTAAAAATCTAATATATATTGATTATGATTTTTTTTTAATTCAATATATATTGAAATAGGATAAGAATAAGAAAAATATTTTAAAAAATAAATATAAAATGTATAACCTTAATATATAATAATTAAGCGTATATCAAATATACAATCTTAATAAAAAAAAAAAAATAATAATAATAATAAAAATAAAAGCTTAATTAAAATCCGTTTTGGAAAGATTTGCCATGCATTCATCACCTGTCGATCCCATAAATGTAGGCTACAGCCATCATCTCACAGAAGGCGATGATCAGCAAAGGAATGGATCCGGCGAAGCTGTCGAACAGAGCCAGCCAATATTCACCTGACCCCTGAGCGAAGATAATGGCCAGACCGAACGAGACGAAACACACCAGACCTGAAACACACACACAGACCGAGACCTTCACGTGTGATCATCAATGGAGACGGCTGGATTATAACGTTTGTGTGGCTGTACCTGTGTAGACCTCCTTCGGCCAGCGCTTCGGTAGGATGTTCAGATCCTGCAGCGGTGCCACGACTCCCTCGACACTGCCAAACATGGTGGACAATCCCAGACAGAAGAGCATGATGAAGAACAGCACTGACCACAGAGGAGAGAAGGGCATCTTAGTGATGGCCTCGGTGAAGACGATGAAGGCCAAACCGGTTCCCTCAACTCCCTGTGAAGATAACAAGAGCCTCTGAGGCCACAAACACACTGCAGGTTTCAGGAGCGACAACCGCGTTTAAATGAAGGAGTGAGTCCCGTAAATCATCATTCCATGTGTGTACGGATCAGCAGTCACTCCTGCATTTGTAACCATAGCAACATTTTTGCCGTCTTGCGGGAGTGGAGAAGAATTTAGCCGTTTGGTATCTGGCTAAAGACTCTTTTTGTCCGTTTATTTTAACTAAACTACCGCTGATAGACGTGCTGTGTTTTGTTAATGCTCGGGAGGCTGCTTTAGAGAGCGCTGTCTTGCAGTGTTGCCATGTCCTCATATTTACAAGCGCTTTTAGGCATGTTGTTTGGTCTTAGCTCATAGGCACTTTATGGAGTTAATAAGAGATATATGATTTGTGTGTGTGTGTTATAAAACATAACGCATTTGGGTGTTTTAGTGTTTTTGTGCTTGTCTTTTTTCTATGAAGATCTGGCAACACTGACACTTTACCGCAGGACTCGTGAGCGCAACTAACTCAGGTTAAGACTTCTTTCACTGTTATTTGCTTGCATCTCACATACAGACACATTTCTGATGCACGTTCAAATACGTCATTAACAACTAGTTTGTTCAGTTCAGTTCTGTACACACTGTGTAGAATTTCTGTAAATGCGGTTGCCACTACCTGTATTTTTCAGGAGATAATGCGGATGTCACTCCTGTATTTTAGTGAATTATGTACAGAACGCGATTATGAACTGACAACTGAATTTAGCTGCAGTGTGTAAGTGGCCTGAAAGAACTGAAGCACCGAGTAAAAGAAGGAAACACAGACCTGACTGAGAAACGTCTGCATGTCGCAGGTCTTCAGCTGGAGCTCCTGAAAGATGGCTGGTGCTGTGCTGTTGAGATGCTGGAGAAAACTGTCGTAGTTGCTCTCCGTGATGTTTCCCTCCGGCAGATCAAACGCGTTCATCAGCGTCAGGATGTTACTGTGAACAAACCACAGCACTGTGAACTTGAGCAGATTATCTTTAAAAAAATGGGAAAACATTAAAATTACATATTTTATTATATTGATTAAATATTTGTTTATACATTTAGTTTTGACATATATTCATTTTTTTATCATAATATAAGACAAGTATATATTATTAAATAATTTGAATAAAATATTTATTATATTAATATTCTGAACACAACCTATTTATATATATATATATATATCAAACATTGTATTCTAGTTAATGTTTATTAAATAT